CGTGGCTGATCTTCTGGAAGACTCTCTCCGTCGCTGTCGCTGCGCTGGTCGAACAGCTTGCGTAGCGAAGCCAGAGATGGGGCTACGTGTTAGGATCGCCTATGTGTAGCTGCGTTACACAATGTATCGCCCAGTGTGCCCTTAATAACTAAGAAGCCTCCTCGAAAGTCGCTCACTACACAAGTAACAAAAACACTAAAACTCAACACATTCGTCGACAACACTGCAGATGAAGGTGCCATTGCCCGAAACGTCGTCCATTGTTTTCCTTGTAAAAACTTTTTAATTACCAGGAAAGGCCCACTGAGTTATATAGCTCTTTTTCAGAAACGACCTGGCCACAATTAATTGCTCAACAAAGTGGTTTATCGTGTGGAAATGTATAGCAGTGAAAATACTCTAAACGTACGTTCATTCTAAATGTGAAAGGAAAAAACAGGAGGTGCCTTAGAAGAATGCACGCGACCACGGGGATAACATGCAAACTCCACATGTACAGGCACCAGGGTCAAGTTCGAACCCACGACCTTCATACCAGGCGAGGGACAGGGGCGGAGCCACAGGGGGGGGGGCTGGGGGGGGCTTAGCCCCCCCTGAAATTTTGGGAAAGTCGGTAATCGGGATAACCGGATATCCGACTGCTGCAAAATGCTGCAGGCTGCCACCTTGTGCTGCCCTGCAGGCTGCCACCTCGTGTGCTGCCCTGCAGGCTGCTTGAGCGGCAGCCTTTCGAACTTATCGAACTTATTAGCCACATCAGCGGCTTCGACCTATTAATAAACTCCGCGTTCAAATCCAATAAAATTTGTTTTATACATTTGTGGCGCCCATTGGAAAACATAAACACTGGATATCTCAGAATATTGAAGTCAGCCCCCCCAAAGTCAAAATCCTGGCTCCGCCCCTGGAGGGAGTTGACATCTCCCCACCGCGACGCCCAATTGTAAGGGCGCACACACACACAACGTCATTAACGAATGTGTTGGGTTTTCCCATTGTAGTCGTTGGGTATCACAAAAGCTATTAAAAAGTCAACCAGAGACAATAGATCTCCGTATAGCCTCAACACACTTTCGAGGCAAGTGCTGTTAGCGAGCACCTGTCAGCGTGTGCACGGCACACGTGGGGGTGGGTGGCCAGCACCACGTCCGGCCTCCTTTGTATACCGAACGGTGACGTTTACACACCACACCAGGTCGAGTCGGCCTAGCGGATGCCCAGGACTGGTTGAGAAAATCGTCACCGGTGTTGGCCGTGAGCGGGAATCGCACTCGGGTGACCAGAGTCGCAGCGCAGCGCGCTAACCGCTACACGACCGCTCCCCACACAAACTATTGAAAGGTCAACCACACACAGATTCTGACTCTAATTGAAATGCGTTGACCGAATTGGCCGGTGCTTGGTTCAGAACGAAAACAAAAATGGGAAAGTCCGTAACTTTCCGAAAGTGAACCACCCCACCGCAAACCACGCCAACATTTCATCCCGAAGTCAACACAGCCCTGGATGCCCCCCACCCACCCCCTGCCCTACGCCCCACGCGGTTCGTCGTGAGATTTCGCTGCCCTCTAGTGGACAAACGTGGAAATAAAGCGATGCTATCGCTCAGTGAGATTTTATCATTCGGGATTGCGCCGCGTGTTGTTCGGGACGATGTCCGACGTTTCGCTTTTCGTGCCGGGGAGTTGAACAAGGTTCGGTCCCTGGAGAAAGCTCCAGGAGCGTGGAGCGAAACGTCGGACCGCGTGCCGAGCTACGCACGGTAACGACCCGAGAACACGTCGGAGAAGAAAGAAAGCATCAGGACAGCTGCAGCCCACGCAAGTGATATGAAACGAAACAACAAAGCACTCAAATGCTGTCCCCATGACCCTCAAGTCCACACTACACAACTCCTTTTTGACACTGCCAAAAGCCTAAAGAACAATGAAAGATCAGCTGATACAACTCAACAAATCCTTTCAAATGGAATATTTAGGAGTGACTCTACAGTGTTCGATGCTAATGCTTCGTTTGCTGCACCTGCTACCATCGTGTAGGCTGAGCTGCTACATCTGCACCGCGGAGCCTAGCGTTGTGACATCGTCAGTAAAGCCCATGAGCGCCTTTTTAAACAATTTCATTTAACTCACTCTGTTGTTGTTGTCGTCGTTGTTATTATCGTTGTTGTCGTTGTTGTATCCTCAAATCTTGTAACTCAATTTTAACCCACTTCCCAATGTGGTATCGACTGCAAACTTGGTATACTTATGTCATACTGATGACCCTACTATATTCTATCATCAAAACTAAAAAATATTTTTAAAAATTATTTTTTATATGTTATGTTTCGGCTTGGGTTAAATTGTTCACGGTCAACTGACGTTGGCTGTAACTGGCCACGGTCCCTGACGTTATGGCGAGATTCGGGGCCACTTCCTGGAGTCGTGGAGTTCTTACATTACTAGCACATTTCATAAAAGCGTGTTTTAAAAAAAAAAGGTTTTAAAAATATTACTTATTCACTGCCCTGAATGGATCTCAAACGGCGTGGTTAAAATGCGAAGCTGCTAATCGCAATGAATTGAAGGGAGACGTCTCTTACTCGGACGCCTTCACTGCCGCCCCGGAACACAAATCAGACGTGGGTGGTGCAGCGGTTTCTAATATGAACAACACAAAGCGTTATCTTCATTAGGCCATTCACGTTGAAAGAATAATTATATTTTAATTGTTTTAAACACAACAAGACAATTGATAGAAAAGTATTTTTATGAGGAAAAATAATGTGCCATCTCCAGCTGCTTGGTGAGGCCGTGCCCCAACGCCCTTAGTGGATGAACCGCGCCTGCGACTAACAGAACATCAAAGAAATATTAAATATTATGAATGCGTACCTTCATTAATCCAAGTGTTCCTCTGTCTGCCTCTCCATGATGATCAGATTACTACTTACAATACTCGGTAAATTGTCTTTTGGTGATTTATGATGGCGTTAGATGGTCCGCCTGTCAACTTTAGCGACTGTCTGTGGGTCGTTTAACACGTGGGCTTTCGGGACCAATAGAGGTGGGGGTTTTCTCTCCACAAATCTGGCTGTCGCCTGATGATGCTGGTTGTAATTACTGGCAAAACGTCGTACTAAAATTGTAAATGTTGTGGATTTACTTTCCCACACACCAGTGTGCGCTACGAGTACCGAATTGGCACGTTCTGTTTCTGTGACAAACTTTACTAATTGGCTGTGTCGGGTGGTGGCGGGTTTAATGACACATTTATATATTTACGCGATCTAGCCCCCCCCCCCCCCAAAAAAAAAACCTCTTATATCTGTGGTTCATTTTGCGACTTTCTGCTTCAGAGATTTGGCACAACTTTGCCCACGAGCGACAAATCTAGCGGCTTTTTGGGTCGAGGACATGGTCAGATGTTCAAGTAGACTTTGTTTAACCAGATGAGGACTCAAGATATCAGAATAGGAGTCTCATTTGCAAGAGTGGCATGATGGGGCATCAGTCTGCCAGTTGGGGGAGACGATTGCTCCATCTCTGAGGCTTCTCCATTGAACTGTGAATAGGGCCATTGGCCGAAACGTCGCTAATTATATATTTTATTTATTTTGAAGGCGATGCTATTGACGTGAGTGTTATTTTGATGTTTGCTATGTGTCATCCCGGTTGGGTAATGATGCGATGTGGGGACGAATCGAGGTGCGTGGTAATTGTCTTCTTAGTCAGCTATGTTTCAGAGCTGACAGCTATATTTTGTTTACTAGTTAGCAAGTAATATCTCTTGACTTTAGAGGAGTGCTTCTGAGACGCCGTGGAGCTTTCTCGATCTTCGAGAAAGCTGCGGGCACCGTCATCCAACAGTGAAATGATCATGGTTGATGATGATGATGCTTGCTATGTGTGTGTGTGTGCACGCATGTCACTTTCTCGAGTGGTATACGCCGCTACGGACGGACTTGATGTGGATTTTTTCCACAATCGCTTCGTGTGTCAGACGCGTGGTGTGGCTCGGATTTATGTTATCGTTTGAATTGCATCCCACCGGGATTTTTTTTTTCACACAGCGTTGGTGTGCGGTGTTTTTTTCATGGAAGACTTTTGCTGGTTTTTTTTCCCCCCCAGGATTTTTCTGTTGCGCGTAGTCACTTTAAGACGTTTCTTGTTCATGTTTTTTTGTTGCGGTTGCACCCGAGTCAAGAGTCGCATGGCTCACAGGGCTCTATACCTAATAAATTAATCTTTAAATAAAAAAAACCGTAATCGCTCACCCGGTGAGCAGTTGTAACGTGGCGCGTTACACCTGGGACGAGGGCGCTACGGTGGCGAGTTGTGAATTACCCTGGCCTGGCATGCAAGGAGGACGTGAGTTTCGATGCCAACCCTGACACCCGCTGTATATTTGTTTGTCTCTCCCCCCCTCCTCACCATGGTCCGCAGATTTTCCCTTGGCACGTTAGGGTCAACACGCGTTTAGGGCATTTTGGCTGCTGTAAATTTCCACACGATAAACGCCCAATTCGTTCACCTATCGTTGGTGGCCAGGTCGCTTCTGAAACAACGACTCATCCATGTAGCACAAGTTGGGTCCCTTATCTGGTAAAAAAATACTGCAGTTTAACATAAATTTGAAGCTTTCGTGACTGCAGAAATTACTATACTCATTGTGGGTTTTTTTCGGTCAAAGTCACGTATGTAGAAATAAAATAAAAATTTGACTTATTTCTTGTTGTATTTGACTCCGTGCAGTTTACCGTTCTCTATGTACTATGCGCGTGATTTGTCCCCCTATGTGTCCCCTCGCTATTTGTTTTACCCCATTTCCACCTAATGATGATGATGATCGCTTGTGTTGCGTTCGAAACGTCGTGATTTATTTTTATTTTAGTTCAATGTTATTTTATTTCTACATACGTGACTTTACCGGAAAAAATAACACACAATGAGTATACTGCAGTTTAGTTTGACTTCTGCTGCTGCTTACTACTTACTACTTAGTGCTTCCCTAGATTTGTGTAGCGACACCCAGCGACGCCCCTGGGAGGTTTTGGAGGAGGCGTCCCAACTCATCTTACCCCGGCGCCGAGTACGCACACCGGGGCGGTCCGCTCTGCTGGTGAGACATCTTCTACCGTCATTTAAACGCACAACTACAATTAACGCTGCGCCAATTAACGCAAATTAAGTCGCCCGGGGCTTCAGGCCATCGCCCTGGCCGAGTTCCTGCACCATTCGCGGCGAAATTCGAAGGCCATTCGAGAGATTCGGCCCCGGCGTATCCACCAGGCCGCGGCGAAGCGCGCCCCTTGACTCGACGGCCCTACCGACGAGGCCGCACTTCGCCCGGCCCGGGGCTGGTCTGGCGCGTGGGTGGAGAGTTGCGCTCGGCTCGCCGTGCGTGGTCTAGGAAATGGGAATGAGACGAAGCGGCGGGGTTTGTTAATCTCTGTGTGGAGTTTGAGTTAAAGATGACGGAGCCAGTGTTTGTGTGGTCTCGTGTTGTGAGATAAGTACACGTAGCTCGCAATAATGTATTCATCATCGTCGTCATCGGGCATGGTCTATTCACTGCTGGATGAAGGCTTCCCCAAAGCCGTTGCCGCGTCCCTCGCGATCCTTCGATATTTAGAATCCACATCGTACCTGTACACGAGCTAATTTAGTCGCTCTTATCTCCTCGGAATAACAATAATGTGCTGTTCCATTAAGGATTAAAGCCTCGCTGAGCGCCGGGACTCGACAGGGGCCTACACTGGGCTATTTGACAATTTCATAACTGAGTGCGCGTCTAAGATTAACGTTGTTGCAGGGTTGGTTGTTCGGGACAAGGTTCCTGAGTGGATTAACACGTGCCCGAATGTGTGTTTTCACATGACTTTGCCAATCTACTGCTGGACGAAGGCCTCGCCGCGACAGGCACGGGGTGTGGGTGTTGTTTGACCATACTTCACGCTGGTCAGTTCGATTGAATGAAGGATTTGGGAGGAGCCCAAGACGAATTCTGATATCACTCACCACGGATACGAGCCGTGGCCGAGAATCCATATCTGTTAACCCCTTAGCAGTGCCTAACTTATTAGAGACCAATTAAGACCTTATTGGTCACCCCGTGCCCTTATAAAACTCAACGTTCATCCTACAAAGCCCGTATTTAAACGGCTGTATGGAACTGAAAACTCAATTTCCTTGTACAAGAATACGGGTAAACCGTATGGGTTGACAGGTATGAGTCTCCAACTTAAGGGGTTAGGCTCATAGGGCAGCGGACGAATATCCACTTAGCCAACATTCCACCAAATTGCATTAAAAACGATGAGAATGATTTCTCCCTTAAATAAAAAAACCAAGTGAAACTTCTCACTTTGCTATATACATTAGTACAGTATAAATTGAGCGAAAAATAGGCCCATGTGCTTTGAATAAGGGCCATTGTCCGAAACGTCAATATTACATGTTTCCTGTTAAGGCCGCAGCGTTATTGGCGAATATGTCGAGTGTTTTTGTTATTTGTGCACCACTGCCAACGCAGAATCGCCAAACAATTTGTCTGATTTAATTAAACTGGGTTCGTTAACGTTAAATCGGATTCCAAAGGAGGCCGTGTTTGTTTTTGCCAACTCGTATGGTAAATGCAGTCTCATGTGTGTTCTGGTTGTACCGCGTGATGTCTGACGTTTTCACTAAATGTACTGAGAGCTACTTCAGGAGCGGAATACTGTTAACTTGTAAGTCCCTCCCTCCCCATAGAGGGATGAGTTACAACACGGTACAACCCAAAAAGGAATTGGAGAGCTATACGGCATGACCGTGAAAAGCTGTGAAGTAGTATCTAACTTGTTACTGTCATTGTTGACTAAAACCCTGTTGCCCACATGTGTATGTGTTCAGCTGCTTGGAGACTACTGTGGACTCATTGAGCCGTACCGGAGGTGCTCGGCCCAGCCCGGGGAATGGGGGCGAAGGGCGAGCCCCGGCGGCCATGCTGGTACTGGGACAAGCGCGACCTTGTGCGGACTCCATCCATGCAGGAGGGCATGGACGCTGTCACGGAGTCGCGCTACCGCCGCGAGGGCGCTCGCTTCATCTTCGACGTGGGCACGAGGCTCGGGCTGTATCCTCTGTCGTTAGCACCCGGTGGCGCCAGTCTCTGATGACCGCTGCATGATGTGTTCACTTCGCAATTAATTTGAATCGCGGTGTAATATTAATGCCTGCTGTGCTGCGGTAGTTGTCATTATAATTGCCCGCAAGGATGGTCCACAATGCCATGCCACACTATGGCACCCTGTCATTGGGCAGAGGACTAAAAATTTTCGTGAGTTTTTTTCACTTTGTCTTTCCACGAATGGTTTTAAAAAGCGAGAGACTCACTGCGGTGAGGAGATGCCTAATTACGTGAAGTCGGTGGTCGTAGCCAAAACGGTAAAATATCCACCATAGTGGTTTACAAGGGGTCCGTCGGGTGTCTTCACACAGCCGTTTGGTAATTCCGTGGGCAATGAATCTAATTGAGTCGTCTGCAACGTTGAGTTTCCTTAGCTCCACGACAGGCACTACGACACACTCGCAACCGGCATGGTCTACTTCCACCGCTTCTACATGTTCCACTCGTTCAAGCAGTTCCCACGATACGTGAGTCTCCTGCTACGACAGCTCTCTCCAAATGCAACCTACATATTTCAGCTTTAAATCTAATTCCAAACATTGGCCCATACATTTACTTTGCTCTAAGCAGTACATTAACCTACATACCGTTATGGAGAATCATTGGTGTCATGTAAGAATAAAATATTTGTTTTTAGTCCACCTAGTAGATTGATGTTTTACAGCAGAATATCTTAAATAATAATTAACCTCCCTTTGTCAATCCACTGCTGGATGAAGGCTCCCAAGCACCGTGTCAGGCATATGGGTAATATATCTACGGTGAAATGTGTTTTTTTAAAATAAAAAGTTAGAAAACAGTTGTACAGGCTCGTTGCCCTTGTGTCAGGCCCCTCTACTGTGTGTGTTCCTGTGTGGAATTAACCCGGCTGTTGGGTCTGTGATACGCTCTCTGCGCAGGTGACGGGCGCCTGCTGCCTCTTCCTGGCCGGCAAGGTAGAGGAGACGCCAAAGAAGTGCAAGGACATCATCAAGACGGCGCGCAGCCTACTCAACGATGTGCAGTTCGCACAGTTTGGAGACGACCCCAAGGCGAGCGACCACTTCCCTCTGCTGTGTCACATGCTCTGTGGTCGTGAACACATGCCGTTCATCATCACCAGCAATATTCATTTCCAATCCATCGCTATCTCTCACAATCTTGCCAGTATAAACAAATATTGGTTCCTTTTGGGGAATGAATATGTATTCCCAGCAGTGAACATGCTTATTTACCCCCTATTAGAGGTTATGGTTTGGGTTTATTGTTAGAGTTAGGGTTTTAGGGCTAGTGTTTGGGTTTAGGGTGCGGGGGTTTGGTGTATCACCCAGTAAAACAAAATCAACAACTGAACTGTGTTTCTGTGAGCAGGAGGAGGTGATGGTGCTAGAGAGGATTCTGCTGCAGACCATCAAGTTTGACCTCCAGCTGGAGCACCCCTACCACTTCCTCCTAAAATACGCCAAGCAGCTCAAGGGTTTGTTCACCGCTGCACGTCGTCCACACACTTGCATTCATAGTCTCAAAAACACGTGTTGCTTGGTTGTATGGGAGTCCGGGAAAGGGAAGGGACGCCGGGGGGGAAGTCCCAAAGGTACACACACAGGACACGGCTCGAGATGAGCAGCAGCAAGAAAGAGAGAGCACCAAGTAGAAAGGGGAAGGGGAGGTTGAATGACCTGGCCAAGATTCCGGCGATGAGAGAGGGGAGGATAGAGAGGGAGAGAGAAGGAAATTATTAAGCGGAAGGGAGCAGCTATTGTTTTCGCAGGGAGAGGGGAGGGATTCAGAGTTGAGTTTGGCAACACGTAAGTCACGTGATTTTATGGGAGGCGAGAGCTGATTGAGATTATATAGATGTACGTTCGTAGAAGCAATGGTTTTGTCATAATCTATTAAACCAGTGATTCTCAATATTTTTGGTATGACACTCCCACAGTCAACACGACTGGTTCCTGCATCCTCCCCTGTGCCCTCCCCCTCCCTAGGTTATTAAGGCCACAATGCACACATCCACGCCTCTATATAATGCGGTGTTAGTACAGCATTTGTCTCGTGTTGCGTACGAGTGTGTTCTGTCGCCACAACATGGTGCTAACATTCCCTGCACACATTTTCCTGCACGGTATCGATGCTGCAGCCTGCGCCCCGAGGGGGTTGAGAACCCCGCTGTCTTAAATAATTTAAGAACGTCAGGTCGCTGTGTTGTTTTTTCGCAGGAGACAAGAGCAAGCTGCAGAAGCTGGTGCAGATGGCCTGGACGTTTGTCAATGACAGGTGAGTGAGGTGACCGCCTCTCCCAGCTCGACGTCGCATAAGTGTCCATCGCTCATCCTGCACTAATTAACATGTCCTGGTGTACCTGTTGGCCCCGCAGTCTGTAACTCCCGTTAAGCTTTGTAGTCGCCTGTCTGTCAAAGCGCTGTCGACATTTTACCCTGCTGCACATTTCTTTTGATTTGGTCATAAGCCACGGTGGGGTGCCAGCAGAGAGCAGTGCAGCAAAATCGATTCGATGCCCATACGTCTATGCTCTCCACCTTCACCAACCCGCACTGATTAGTGTGGTGAAGTATGGTAAAAAAAACTCACACAACCTCGCATGACGTGTGGGGAGTTCCTCATCCAGCAGCGGATTGTTAAAAGGGATTGTACAGGTGTCTGCATGTGTGCATCCGTGGCTACGCATGTACACGTGCATCACTGCTCCCTCCCTTCCTAACGCCCCCCACCACCCTATAATCCCTCTCCTTCCCCTCTGCACACAGCCTGTGCACGATGCTGTGCCTCCAATGGGAGCCCGAGATTATAGGTGTGGCGGTGATGTACCTGGCCGGCCGCCTCTGCAAGTTTGAGATCCAGGAGTGGACGTCGAGGCCAGCGCACCGCCGCTGGTGGGAGCAGTTCGTGCAGGACGTGCCCGTCGAGCTGCTGGAGGGTGAGTGGGTGCATGTGTGTGTGTGTGTGCGTGCGTCTGCGCCACACCTATTACCATCATTAGGGGAAAAAACGGTGATCCAATCTCCGACCCCCAGGAACAGGTTTGTAGATTTGCTGAGCATTTCTGTGAGGTCCTGGGGGAGGGGAAATCCCTCAGCCAGGAAAACATCGTGGCACAAAGTGGGGATGACCCTGCTGAGGCTGCGGTGCCTCAAATATTGGAAGAAGTCACCCCCTGTGAGTGGCTGGCTGAGGTGCCATCTGTTGAGGAAGTACTGAAGGCGATCCGGAGTCTGAGACCAGGAAAGGCACCGGGTAGAGACAATCTCCCAAGCGAAATGCTGAGAGAGGGTGGCGTTTGTGCACAGACTGCCCTATATGACATCATAACAACAATCTGGACCACTGGACAGGTTCCGCAGGATTGGAAGGATGCCCTGGTGGTCCCCCTCTTTAAGAAGGGGGACCGCACAAACTGTAACAACTACAGGGGCATCTCACTCCTCAGTGTGCCGGGAAAGGTCCTGGCAAGGATTATTCAACATCGCTTTGCCAGGCACGCTGAGGAGAGGCTTGCGGAGCCCCAATGCGGTTTCAGGAAAGGGCGGTCCTGCACAGATGCCATATTTTCTGTCCGTCTACTACAGCAGAGGTGTAGGGAATTCCAACAAGACCTACATCTCTGCTTTATTGACCTGGTCAAGGCCTATGATACCATCAGTAGGCCTGGGCTCTGGGTTGTTCTTCGTGCTTTTGGAGTCCCTGACCCTCTGCTCACGATCATTAAGGACCTTCATGATGGTGAGCGGGCCCGGGTAAAACTACGTGGCCGGGAGTCAGAGCCATTCCCTGTACACCTTGGGGTGCGACAGGGATGTCCTCTGACTCCCACATTATTTAACATCTATTTTGACCACGTAGTTTGGGAAGCCTTCAATAGCTGTACCGGGGGAATCTCCATATGGTACAGATATAATGGGAGGCTGATCGATGCCTGGGTGCGGTCAAGGGATGGCTCCCTATTGCTCAACCACGTTATGTATGCCGATAATTTGGTAATAGCTGCTCATTCAGAGGAGGAGTTGGAGACGCTGCTGCTGAGACTGGAGCGTGCCACTAAGAGATGGGGCCTTACCATCAGCCCTACCAAAACTAAGCACCTGCCTGGGTATTTTGTACCATCGGACACTCCACCCCCACAACTCCCAATCGGTGATGGGGCAGTTGTGGAGAGAGTGGAGAGTTTCCCATACCTGGGCAGTGGGCTTATGGCCGGCTCCAGTTTAACAGCAGAGGTCTCACTCCGAATCAGTCGAGCGGCAATATCTTTTCATCGGTTGCGTAACGCTGTGTGGAAGCTACCTGGTCTGTCGCTCCGCACTAAGCTTCAGGTCTTCTCGGCCACGGTCATTCCCTCCCTTCTCTACGCTTGCAAAACGTGGACCCCCCTAATGGAACATCTTCGCTGGTTGAAAACATTTAGGCTGGCCTGCCTACGATCCATCCTGGGTTTAACCAGACTGGATTGTGTGAGGAGCTAACAAATCCTTGAAAGATCTGGGCAAGGTCCCATCGGTGAGCTCCTCCGGCCGGCAAGGCTGTGTTGGCTGGGTCATGTAGCCCGCATGCCCAGCCACCGCATGCCGAAACAGCTTTTGTTCGGCCGGATCAAGGGGGCTAAGCGGGCGCGGCACGGGCTAGAGAAGAGATGGAGTGATGTGGTACAGGAGGACGTGGAGCTGAGTGGACTTGCCGATGACTGGTACCAGCGGTGTCAAGATCGGCCTCTGTGGAGGAGGCTCGTGAAGGACGCTACTGGGCAGTTGGAGGCAGTCGCCCTCCAACAACAACGGAGGGCGGAGGAGCGACGCTCACAACAACGAGCGGAGCGCCGGGTGATTAGGGCACAGCAGGTTGGCACAGTAGGGGGCACAGGTGGTGCATCAGCCAGTCATCTCAGTCAGTCGACCCGTGGCACCTGGGTCTGCCCCGTGACCTCATGCCAGCGGGCGTTCGACACTTCACGTGGCCTCAAGGTGCACATAGCCTGGCACAAGCGTCGTGGTGACGTCACCGCCACTTAGTGGCGAATGGCGGTTGTTGTTGTGCGTCTGCGCGCACATGTGTATGCATGTGTGTTTGCGTGCGCACACGTCTGTGAGGTCCGGTGAGTGCGTGTGTGTGCGTGCGTGCGCACATGTCTGTGTGGTACAGTGCGTGGATGCAGAGGTGTAATGATTCACCCACTCCCTCCAGTGATTCGATCGTATTGAGCTCTGAGCCAGTGGTAGAAGTTTCACATTCCTATGGTGGGGAAAAGCCTAAACGGGACAACCACTGTTGACTTCCCCACATAGTGGTACTCAATTTATTCGCCCTCGCAGGGTTTGAACGCGCAACCTTTGATTATGAGCCGCTTGCTCTACCCCTGAGCTACCTGGTGAGTCAATGATTTGTCCTGGAACAGCACTTAACCCAAACGGGCTGCAGCAGCGCCGTTTATCAATGCGGCACACGTTGTGCTTGGCTGTGTTTCCCTCGCAGACATCTGCCACCAGGTGCTGGACCTCTACTCGCACTCGCCGCAGTCGCAGCAGCAGCTGCAGCAGCCCCCGTCACAAGCGCAGGCAATCGGGCTGGCACACACGCAGGCCTCATTTCAGGCTCAGGCCGTGCAGCAATTGTCCATGCAGCAGCAACAGCAGCAGCTGCCTGGGGAGGCCCCGGTCGTCAGCATGCAAGCTGGACAAGCCATTGCGCAGTTGCAGCAGGCGGCGCAACAGCTCGTCGCGGCACAGCAGCTTGTGGCGCAGCAGCAACAGCAGCAACAGCAGCAACAGCAGCAGCAGCAACAGCAACAGGCCCAACCTTCGCTGCCGCATACACCAAAAAAACCATCGCCTCCCTCCAGCTCTCCCCGGCCCCTTAAGCGCCCCTTGCAGGTACGAGCCTCACCCGGTTTCTGTATCTCCAGGTATCTCTATTCCTGGTGTCTCCTCTCACCCGGTATCTATTTTAACAAGATGTACCTCCCACCAGGAGTCTGTCTTGCTGAGTGCGTCACATAACAGCCTTGCGTCTTCCTGGGGCTGCTGAGTGATGCCTTGTCTGATAAACCAATGCTGTTGTCTTTCCTTTCTCGACGTAGGTCGATGTAAACACCCGAAAGTAAAAAGTAGGCTGGGTCAAATCCCGGAATAAGAGGTAGGGCAGGTATTAGTTTGGTTGGGTAATTTGTTAAAGTTAGGGGTAGGGCGAGAGTTATTTTAGCCTGTGCATACTTGGCCGAGCCAGGCCACACGATAATCGTCTGTCGTGTTCAGTGCTGTCAGTCTTCTTCAACGCGTTTGTCCCAATAGTGAGGTCCACTGTCCTTGCCAACCTCCAGTGCTTCCCTGTCCTGCGCCATCTCTCTTTCCGTTCCATGGGCCACCATGTCCGATCACACCACATCACCCCACTCCTTTCACTACACAGTCTGTCACCAGTCTGTTGGCCAGTCACACACTCTCCAGGAATCACTTTGCATTTCTTCACTCCTTTCAGTTGCTTCCTCCTCACCAGATAGAAATCTATCTGGCTCTTTACCTCTACTCTCATAGGTCATCAAATGTACCTCCTGCTTCTGGAAGTAGGTATTCTCCACTGCAATATCATTTCCCTGGGCCATCCGAAGAATGTTCTCTCCTCCATTGCTACTGCCATATCAGCATCCTCCATGGTTCCTTTCATATCCGTCCTTACTTCTTCGCACTCTTCCATTTAAATCTTCACCCATCACCACTGCTTTATCTACCGGTAAGCTCTGGAACTCCAAGTCTAAGCTCTCCCAAATGCATCCTTCTCTTGCCCTCCGCAGCCCATCTGCGGGGCATATGCACTCACCACATTCACAGCCCCGCTTTCCTGTACCAGGCTGACTATCATCAGTCTGTCATTCACTCTTTTGACTTCCACCACCTTTGTCTTCATCTTCTTACTCGGCAAAACTCCAACCCCATTTATCCTTGCTGTTGTTCCATGGTATAACAATTGCTGCCTTTCCATTTTGCTTCCTGGATGCATGCGATGTCGACTTTCCTCCTCCTCAAGCAGTCCACTAATTTCTGACATTTTCCCGTCATTGTTCCAATATTCCATGTAGCCAACCTTATCTTCCTCCCGAACAACCTTCTGCTCTTTCCATTTTGTTTGTCCGTCTTGATATGTGCAGACAACATAGTTCCATAGTTCTATTTATTTGGTATAGCCCTGTCAGCCATTCGGCTCTTGAATCGGGTGCAACCGCAACAAACAGAAAATAAAAACATGAATAAGAAACATCTTAAAGTGATCATGTGACTGCAAACAGAAAATCCAGGAAAAAAACATCAAAATATTCCTGAAATAGCACCGTACACCAACGCTGTGTGCAAAAATCCCAGTGGGATGCAAGTCAAACAACAACAACCACAATACAACTAAGATTAAGGCCATCAGTCTAACTCTGTACTACAATAAACAAAAAACATGGCCAAACCAAAAAAAACGTTTTCGAAATCACCAAAATAAAAGCCATAAATGCAATGTAACAGTGATCATAGGGACTGTGACCGAATTTTTAACAATAAACTATATAAATAACATGCAACACCAAACCCTAGAGCCATATTTTAGGCCACTGAATAGCAGTGGCAGCTAGGGGTGTACAACTCCTCTAGAGCAGTTTTGAGTGAAGATCTCATAGGTAGTGATTCAAGTTGCAGTTTATTGGCAATAGCATTCCAGACCCTGGGGGCATCAATAGCAAAGGCCCTTCCTCCGGTTTTTGTACGGCAATAGGGAATGTGAAGCTGGTAAATGAGCGAAGACCTGAGGTCAAATTTGTTCTTTGAAACAGAGAGGAGATCCAGTTGGTAGTCTGCGGATTTTTCTGTAAGTACATCGTGAATAAATAAGATCTGGTGCACAAGCCGTCGAACATTAAGAGATGTTAAGTTTCACCCAATGTAGAGATCACAGTGGTGAGTCCTATATGGGCAGTTCAATGCAAATCTTAAAGCCGAGTGATAAATGGAATCAAGCTTCTTCAGTACAGTACTTGGGGCTGATTTATACACGATGTCACAGTAGTCAAGTAGAGGCAGTATGGTAGCTTTTATCAATTTCAAACGGAACATTGGGGGGAAGCAGTGCTTGTGTCGATACAGAAAACCAATTTTTGTCTCTTTACCAATATAATCAATGTGATCTTCAAAATTCAGTTTTGAATCCAGGATGACCCCAAGATACCTATAGATCTTGACTTGCTCTATTTGATAATTAATTAAGGAATGTAATTGGGGAAAAATAACTTCCTGCTTTAGTCCCGGTGAGAAGCATAGCACCTTGGTTTTGGAGGTATTCAGGACTAATTTAAGAGCAACTAGCTGATATTGTAGTTTGTTGAAATCACCCTGGAGCTTAGCAATCACGTCATCCGGAGAGCAGCCAGCAGTAATCAGTATCGTGTCATCTGCAAAAAGATTTGCCCAGGTTTCTGCACTCCCTGCAGCGGCAGAGTCATGAAGTCCCGGGATTCTTTGCACCCTCTGCCCACTTAAGGGCTGCAGGGGACTGAGGCCCATTTGTTTGCAAGGACTTTCCATGTTTGGCTTTAGGGTTTTACGGCCGGTTGCCACCAGATGCTAACCCTCCTCCTTGCTCCTGGCTTGGAACAGGCACTGAACAAAGTTCAGTGCTCGAAGTCCTCTGTCCAATCTGGTTAGAGGACAGTCCTCCACAATATGTAGTGTAGAATTGAGGGCCAAACTGCATACTTGGGAGTGAATGGACTCAGGGGGCATGTTTGTTATGTGGTGCAGTATCCTAGCCCTGCCCTAGCCTGAACAAACTAAGCCCTGAGATTTGTCTTACCATAGTCCAAAATGTGGCACTTTGACTGGGCCCCCCTTTTCACTTTTTGTTTGCTTTTCACGTTTGTTCACGGTTCTACTGAGTTTGATTTTACACAATAGAGTTTAACCGACAAATCAAATCTTCGCACCTAGGAGTGGGGCTCTGGTGAACCTTTGTGTAAATACTTGGTGACACAACCGTTCAATTGTGTTGAAACGTTGCACGTGCCGATTTTAATACATGTTTGGATTTGTGATGTTTGTAGGTGTCTCCAGCAAGAGAGGAAAAAGTTGTCGGTGAGTTTTTATTTTTATTGCTACGGTCTGTTGATTGATTTATTTTATTTGTTTTCGTGGGTAGGAAACATCCAAGTGCAGCTGATTTACAAGAAATGCCTCACTTTTTGATTTTTTTTTATATTAAGTTCTAGGGAAGGAAGCAGAAAATGTAATACTTAAAATTATAAAATACAACTATACTTTTTATTCGGCCTTGTTAAACTTTAATGTGGTGCGTGTATTTACAGTTGTACCTGCATACCACTGCCGATATAGATGCTATATGCGCAGCTCCTCCTTTTTCAGTCTAATGCTGGATTAAGGCTCCCCCATGCCATGTGGTTTGTGGAAGTTATTTTGCCACACTTCACACACAATAATCAATGCGGGTTAGTGGTACAGCAACAGATTTTTCTACATGGCTGTCGACTGCCCACCACTTATCCCCTAATCTTCATAACACCTTTTATACAGGGTGGTCGCCCATAAAAGCAATACCTTGCTTGTCTTCTGAGATCTGTCAAGTTCTGGTGCATTCCTAGTGATTTTGTCATAGCCACCGATGCCAACCTCATCCCATTATTTTTTTCTGTGTGAATAACACAGTGTTACTACTTGGAGCAGTTGCTTTCTATTGGACAGAGAAGCGGAAACGAGCGTGTTTGTCCATAATAGAGGTTTTTGGGTTAGATCACGTAAATATATGTCGTTAAAACCCGCCACCACCCGACACAGCCAACTAGTGAGGGTTGTCACGTAAACAGAACATGCCAATTCGTAACTAGTATAGTACACTGGTGTGTTGGAGAGCCAAGCTACAACATTTACAATCTGAGTACGACGTTTCACCAGTAATTACAACTAGCTTCATCAGGCGACAGCCAAATTTGTGGAGAAGTCTTACTGTTTCGTTCCTTATACTTATATAGATGCGTAGATGTGTTGACCAAGCAGCTGCGCTTTTGCACAATGTGGGGGGGGGGATTACTGAGGCAATGTACATTATGCATGTGCATGATGCGAGCCCTTTAAACTTGTCCTTCCTGTCTATTGTGTTTATTAAAATAGCCCTACCAACGGTAATCTCTATTAAAGTACGCAGCCCTTTGTCGGCATGCATTTAAATAATGTATTATTTGATTATTTGCTTCCACGCAGCACTAAGGCGGTAGCTATCCGAACGGTTAAATTTATTTTGATTTCTTTCAATTTCGATAGATTCTCTAATTAGTCTTGGCCAGTAGTAGCTAGTTTTGCACAAAACTTCAACATTATCAAAATCAATTGAGTGTCCTTGTTGGCACGCATGTTCTGCTACTGCTGACAGTTGTATTTGAGATGATTAAATGTTTATCTGACGTTCTTTAGTCTCGTGCTGATCATTCACCTGTTTGCCCAACATAACATGACAGAAACTCCACTTATAAAAATACCGAAGCCAGACCCTTCTCCAGTCCACACTGCCGGTCCTCCGATCACAGGTGAGAGGAACATACTGTTTGTCCTGATAAAATATATATACATAGCAACTATTTGATAACAAAAATGTAAATGCAACTCAGGATGCTTTCCACAACAAAGATGAAAAAGAGTGGAAACGGCCATCATCGCCGAGACAAAGCAGGCAATAATTAAATGTGCAAGGGAGACCTAGAGTTTAGTGTGTAAGCTCTTCTGTACACAGTCTTCGTCTGCACCACCATCCCCCCATGCAAGGGTTATGTACTGATTTAAAAAAAGCACGGAATATTACATATGTGCTTTAATTAAGAATCTAGTGGGAAATCTGTCAATTCATGCATTGTTACACTCCTTGCCGGCACACATGACCCTTGTAACCAGCTTAATCAAAATATTTGGAGGCCACGACTGGACAAAAATAATGAAGGATAAACAGGAATGGAATAAAATGGGGTGGTGGGAGCAGGGGGCTTTATTCAGCTGTGGCTGACAATAACCTAGTCCATCAAGACAAAATCCTCATTTGAAGATTTTGTCTTGACCTTGGGCTTCAGCTGTCAAGATATATTGCACCATTGGTGAACTGCTTGCTGGTCGTCCTCCCTCCCCACAGAGCGGCGCACATCGGCCAACACGTCCGTAGTGTCCATGGACCTGGACTCCGGCGTGGGGAACGGCAACGACATCGCCAAGGGCCCCGCACTGCCCCCCTTCCCCCCACAGCCCCCTCCTGCCCGGCCCCCACCCCCACCGCACCCCTACGCCCCCCCGGGCAGCGGCTCCTACTTGAGCGCAAGCGACAGCTACCAGAGCGGGATGGCGGCGGAAGCCGGCGGGGCCGGGGGCTACGCGGCCGCCCCGCATTCTTATCCGCCCCCCCGGTCACATGAGCTACCCGCCCCCTCTCCCGCCACACAGTTACCCCCCTCCGCCCACCTCCTACCCGCCGCCACCACCCCCCACCAGCCTGCCGCCACCTCCGCCGCCGTCCGCCTACCCCCCGCACACGTACGGCACGAGCGCGGGATATGCCTTGCCTCCCCCACTGCCCCACCACCACCATATACCGCCCAACCCGGGTGGGGGTGCCGGCGTGGGTCCCCCGCCACCGCCCCCACACCACGTGCTCCCCCACCCACCTCCCCTGCCCCCCGTGCCCCCCGCAGGCTGGGTACCATCACCAGCCGCCGCCCCCCCCTGCCGCCCTCACCCTCCCGCCCCCTCCCTCGCCTGGCGGAGGGCCACCCCCGCACCACGGCCCACCTCCGCCCCACCCGCACCACCCTGGGGGGCCACCGGGTCAACCCCCCACGGCGGCGATGCCCCAGGTGCGCATCACCTGCATGCAAGAGGCGAGAGGTCGCAACGCGTGGAAGAGGTGATGATGGCGCCAGAGCCTTTGCTTTGGCGCATTCACAAGGATTTTATTTTTGCACCAATAACTACATTATGTTAAATCCAGCGCTGTCAGTACGTTAATTAAGAACCATGCGCAAACGCGAATGTAACCGTCTTAGCATCTGGACAGTTGAACAACAGATCTGAGCAGGTTTGTGGGGACTAGCAGAGGTGGAGTCTTCTTGTATGTGGTTGCTCAGGAGGTCAAGTGGTGATTGTTTGGCAGAGTTGCCCGTTTGTCCTTGTACTTCCATGAGTTTCTATGTAGAATTCGTGGTTGGTGGCATGTACGGGAACATAAGTGGCTTGTGTTGCGAATAATTTGTTTGGAATCGCACCACCTTCGTGGTGAAGGATGCTTGAGATCGATGATGTGTAATGCGTTTTATAACCATATGCCGACTGGCTGCGATGGTGCGTTGCTTGTAATTTTGTTTGATGAGAAGGGCAGTCGTCAACATTGCCTTATTATCGCCTGTGCCCATGGTCTTGTTATGACCAGTACACTATTTAAAGTTTGCTGTTTTTATTTTATAAACTACTGTGTACTGCAAAATGACTTGATCCGGAGGTGTGAATGTCATCCTCAATGCAGCGAATACAATTATATTTTGACATTTGAAAATAAAAAATTGAACATGCTTGGAAAATATGTATAAGGCTCGTTTTTTAAACATGCCTCAAATTTATCTCGTTACTAGATGTGATACATCGATTTGTCAATTAAAATTTAATATTCTCACTATTAGACACCACGTGTGAGAATCCCTTAACTTTCCATTCGTATTTTTTATGATTGGTTAATCAGCAGTGGTTCTTAACCTGGGATTGCGAGATGCCCTTTCTGGGGTGCGAGACATGGCAGATTTTTTTTTTTAGAAGGTAAATCATCGAAACAAATTAACCACGGGCACATAAGTACAACTACTTTGTTTCATCAAACCTATGTATTAACATGTTTTTTTTACGATTGAGAACCAAAACGGTCCAAGGCTGCAGTAAAGGTTAAGAATTTTTGGGTTAATGTAAACACTGCAGCTACTTGAGGTGCTGCAGTGAACACAACGACTAAACCATCTTATTTTTAACTAAATCGTCACCCCCAAATCATTACGCTTCATCACAAGGGGGGCAAAACACGAAATTTGTACAAAAATTCAACAAATTCAATATAGCAATGCCCTGAAAGGAATACATATAATGCATACCTGTCAACCCCTTATTAATGCCTACTTTATTACAAACCAATTCACACCTTATTGGTTACCCCGTGCCCTTATAAATCTCAACGTTCATCCTACAAAATCCCATCACAAGGGAGAAACACAAATAGACGCAAAAAATGTGCCCGTATTGAAACGGCTGTACGCCGTATGGACCTCAAAGCTCAATTTCCCTGTACAAGAATACGGGTAAACTATATAGGTTGACAGGTGTTATAATGGGAATGTTTTGGGCAATGGGCCTGCACAGTTTATATAAATGGCCACAGGATATTGTGTTGTTTTAAGTCCAGCTCTGATAAAATAAAATAGCAAACGTCCTGGACCTTTGGTAAGGGGCCGTCCATAAATGACGTCACGCACCTGGGGGGGGGGGGGGGGGGGTCAGACATCTGTGACGATGTGCGACGAGGGGAGTGGGTGAGAAATGTGACGTCACATCAAAATGTGCAACTTTATATAAATATAGACAACGCGTTCTACTTAATTAAATAGACTTTTAATAAATGTTTTCTCCTACAACATCAGAGTGCAGCGCCACATCAAATACGCACTACAATGACAATAGTTTAAAGCGATTTTGAAGTATGGTTTATTTTTTTAAATGGAAATATGTTTTTTTTGGGGGGAGGCAGAGCTTTGTGACGTCATATTTGAGGGGGGGTCCTGACTTTTTGTGACGCCGTGTGACGAGGGGGGGGGGTCAAAAATCGCGTGACGTTATTTATGGAGGGCCCTAAGGCGATTCCTGTAACGCATTATTCTCGCACCTCCGATGAGCGTGGTTGGCTACGCACTGTACGAAAGAAGTTCAACATACAGCACATACTCTTTGGTTCTATTCGGTAAAATCACGAAAGCTTTAAATCTGGAATACAGCACATACATTCCACAGCCATGTAACTTGTATTGCTTCACCCCAACGCACTCCTGAGATCCATCCCTTTAAGAGGCAAGGGTTGATGGAGCACGTAAAGTATTTGAAGCTCCTCAACCCGCTGAAAGTTTTGATGTGCCCAGCAGATGGCAGTACAGCAAGCAGGTTTCTGGTATTGATATTATTTTTTTTTAACAAGAGGATCGGGGGAAAAAAGGCGCATTGCGCGAAAAGCATGAGACATGACAGACAAATAAAGCCGTGCGGCGGTCCATCGCACGTGCGGCGGTCCATCGCACGTGCGGCGGTCCATCGCACGTGCGGCGTGCTCAACGCTCACGACTCCGCACAGACAGACACAAGAATCCAGTGCCGCGCGGCCATCTGCTGGCCACCACCACCACCACCACAGCCCGAGATGAAAGCAGCTCAACGTGGAACATTTAGATTTAAAGCTTTCGTGACTGCAGTGATTCATATTCTTGGTTCTTTCGGTAAAGTCACGTTGAAGGGAAACAATAAAATAATAAAATGTATATTAAACAATAAAATATCACGACGTTTCGACTGTAACACAAACAGTTTGTGTTTGTGTTACAGTTTAATATATATATAAAAATATATTAAACAAAAAAATATCACGACGTTTCGACTGTAACACAAACAGTTTGTGTTACAGTTTAATATATATTAATAATATAAGATATATATTAAACCAAAAATTCTCACGACGTTTCGATTGTAACACAAACAGTTTGTGTTACAGTTTAGTATATATTAAATATATATTAAACCAAAAATTCTCACGACGTTTCGACTGTGTTACAGTTACAGTCGAAACGTTGTGAGAATTTTTATTGTTTAATATATATTTTATTATTTTATTGTTTCCCTTCAACGTGACTTTACCGAAAGAACCAATAACATGGATCGTTTTCCACGCGTTCAGATGTAGCAGGACTCTCTTAGAAGTAGAGACTTGACACTCAGTGAGGCTTCCTGGATAAACAAATTGCATTGTTGCGTATATTATTGTTCGTCGTAGCTGTTGTTGTTGTTATAAATGTTATACTGTAGTGATTAAAGAATTAAGCCGCTTGGCCTACGTCAGCGCCGCGGGTTGCCCGCGACCGCTTCTCCCGGCCTCCTTCCTGCCGTGGCTTCCAGCAGCTAACACGGCGAAACGAGGACGACTGCCATGGCGCTAGAGCTCGACGTGTTCGTGGGGAACACGACGCTCATTGACGAGGAGGTTTACCGGCTCTGGCTTGACGGACACTCGGGTGAGGCGACCGCGTACGGCGACCCCAGCCCAGCCCCCTGCGGCCTGGGGCCGCCCGAGCGCGGGTAGGAAAATCAGGCCAGACCGTAGGCTGCGGCCCTTATCGCTTTTTACGCGTTTGCGCGCCTCGTGTTTTATTATATACGCGTGCTATCTAGGGGTCAGAACAGTCGCCAGTATTTAAGTGCGTTCTAGTTTTTGTTTTAAAATATATATTATTTTCAAGCGTGGTTAATAGTCGTAACAAGATTGGAAATGCGCGGAGTTTGACCCATGCAAGTCTGCGGCGCTACGTGGATCGTTATCACGACCACGATTATTGACGGCGACTTGGGGGAGGGAGGCCTTTCATCCAGCAGTGGAGTACACCATGTGCTGACGGTGCTGGTGCGTTCAGGGTCACAGCGGGGAATGTGTGGCGTTGCAAAAAAAAAGCCATAATCGCTTTATTTGTGTGGGTTTATATCATCGCCAGCTACGGTCAACCCCGCTGCTTGACGAAAGTTTCTCACGATCCTGCGATTGTATTTGAGCCGTCTAGCTGACAGGGGTGGGGAACCTTTTACTGTGTAGGAACCTCCTGGTTACTACACCACCAGCACACAGGGGATTATTGTGCCCGTCCGTCCGTCGTGCATCCAAAAATGGGAGGGGTGGGGCTGGGTAGGGAGGGGCTGGGTGGGGAGGGGTGGGGCTGGGTGGGGGGGGGTGGGGCGGGGTGGGGCTGGGTGGGGAGGGGCTGGTCACCCCGTGGTGCCCTTATAAAACTCAACGTTTAACCTTCTCACGCCGGCTTGTGCCCGCCCTCACAGTCAGGCATATTTGCGGAATACACCACGTGGTGCCGCCGTTGACCCTGGCCATTGACCGAGCAACCCAACGTTCCTTATCAGCTCCCTCCGCAGGAATGTGTTTTCTGCGAAGGGCCATTTGGATATTTATTACATCATTCGCGGGCCATACAAAATTATCAAATTAAGAATTAGCCTGTTATATTTGGTCAAACATTTAATTAACTCACCTCATGCGATGGCTGGAACTGCTTCTCTTTGGCGAGGCGTGTGATGATGTTAGCTGGTATTGATGTTGCTACTCACAACTGCTTTTCCAGGTTTGCTCTTAGATGTATTGAATTTTGAGTCCCGTCTGCGGTTACCTTGGCAGGGCCACACCAAATGATTTCGCGGGCCTCATACGACCTGCGGGCCGGATGTTCTCTCTCACACCTGCACGCAGTTGCATCTCCTGAACTCTCGGACCCTCATACTACCCTGGCTGTGACTCCGCTGTTATTCGTCTCGCCCACCGGCCATCGTGACTTCTAGCCACGACGTGCCCTGTCCAACAAGCACACCGTTTGAATTGTAATTCACCTTTAATCAAGGTGCGGAATTCTCAAATATAAGTTTGAATTGCCCATAACCTGCCAATGTTCTCAAATCCATGCTTTTGCACTTTTTTTGTCACTCAAAGCAATTGCACAAACGCATCTCCCCATGCTTCGCTGCACACTTTTCAACGAGTGTACTCGCTGGAGTGTTGGACTTATACGCCTGCTTGCTGTAGACGAGGTCTCCAAATTGTTCTTTCCAGGAATTCTCAAATCCAAGTCCTTGCAAATCACCAAGGCCCAATGATATTCTTCTCGTTCATTGGCAACCTACAATATTGAACTGCTGTACATCTTCCATTCTCAATCGCATCCGCACAAACCATGGAAGATCCGGATACCTGATCCACAAATGGAAATTTTTAAACTCTCCAGTCTGCGCCTGTGGTCATCCATAAAATACCTACAACATATCAAAACGCAAAGCCCAAACCACAAATATGAAAGAGACATTACAATGATACACTCTGCTAATCCTGACGAAGTTATCTGGCTTGACCACCTAAATATAAAATTGTAGTTGTTGCTCTGCATCTCCATCAGCCATCAAAGAAGAAGACTGCTGTACAGCCTTTGTATTATAAAATATATTTTTGTTTATTACCCATGGTTGTCACGAAACTCTATTTGAGTAAATTCCCTGGTAGGTCACCATCGACAAACACATTGGGTCAACTTAAATCGTGGACACTTGGAACTTAAGGGAGAAACAAGCACTGCAGTCCGAGAAGCCCCAAGCGAGCACAAATAATGCCCCTTATCTACTGACACATCTGAGCCGAGCCTGCACGGGGCCCTCACGGTACAGGTGCTTTTCCACTGGCTATTCACTGTGCCGAGCCAGGACCAAACCATCTGAAACTGGCTCGACCACGCAGGGTCAGGGGCTGGTTTAATAATTTTAATAACCCATGTATGGCCGCCAAAATCGGGATTTTGACAAAAAAAGGTCTCATTGCATCAAAAAAGGGTCTCATTGCATCAGTCGGTACTCTTGAGCGTGTGACCTTAGGGTCGCGCATTTATGATGCGTGACGTCTGCGGCATGGCTCAGCTTCTGCATTAGAAATACACCCTGGTGACCTCCGAAGCTGCGAAAAGCTTGCACGGCCCCAGCATGGCTCATTTGCCCACGGAAAAAGGACATAGGGGTCTTGAGTTGAGGCAGCGCGTTGAAACGCTTCGTTTAGTCACCGTTGCATTTCCTCTGCCGCAGTGACCGACGCGGTGGGGATGCGGACACAGAGCGGCACTCTCCTACAGCGATCGGGTGCCACCATGGCACTGCTGCACAGCGACACCATGGACCAGTTCCGCTCGTGCCAGATGCTGGAGCGCCTCCTGCACACGCCGCACAAGCTGGCCAACCAGCTGCTCTACCAGATCCCGCCTCTCATGCGTGCCACGCTCATCGAGAAGTAATCTCCCTCACGGCAGCGCACAGTTTGTGTGCAGTCGACAACACTAGACAACATTAACATTTACCTTTCTTACAATAGTACGGCAGGGTGATGAGCAATGTTCTACGTTAATGCGGACCGTGTCCGTCCAGTGCTCGCTGAACTGCAGTGGCTTCCGGTTGCCAAACAAATACATTATAAGGTCGTACTCATTACGCGAAGCCCTTGCCACAAATGAACCACAATACCTTGCTGATGTCGTCAAGGAGCATAAACCATCATGCAAACGCCGGTCATCCTTGTAGCGATTTTTGGCTAACCATCGAACATAGACGGTCACTGCATCGCGTGCTTGCAGATGTGCCTTCTGCGGCCCGTCTGGAACGCTCTTCCTGCGGATATGAGGAAGCTACTGGAGTTATGCACTTTTAAATATAGAAAAAAAGTATTTTTTTTCAGTTTTTTGTGTTTAGTTTGTTGTCCTTCCCCTGCACCTTTGATTAGCATGGTTGGATACGTAAGGTGCGAGAGAAGTTCAACATACATACATACGAGGTTGGTGAACCAGTTAAGGGTTACAGGAGTGATGTTGTGAATATCTTGAGATCCAGCCAGTGAATGAGTGAAGCTTTGGGCATTGCTGAATGATAATACTATTTGGTAATACTGCATTGGCTGTGGTGCCAAGTCTATTATATGTTTTTCCTTCTCAGGCAGTATTATTGGCAAATGTGTTGAGTTCATTGCTGAATAATGTGGTCCATAGTTTGGTGGTGATAGCCACAGTCGCAATATTCCACTGGCATAATATGCGGCCGCAGCTGCTTTGTGGTGTTCAGATGTGGTTCAAAGCAGACCGCGTCTTCATGAAAGTGATTATAATGTGGAAGGAAAATGGTTTTGGGGAACATAGACAACCAGCTGGATAGATGCAGTAGCTCCCGATCTAAAAGGGAAAAAGTTGAGATTAGACAAAATAGTCATTCTGACGACAAAAATAGAACCATTGCAGGCAGATGATGATGGTGATGATGAATTACAATACCATTTATTAACCCAGAAAAGCCTAATTGAATCTCTTTACTTTAACCTCCTGCACGTAAAGTACGTTACTCCAATGACGGAAACACACCATGGGGGTGCAGCTAAATCACAAGCCATCTATTTTAATGGTAAGCAAATACATTCCTATTTTCACATCCAACTGCCTCCTCCTCTCCGCGTAACCCACTCTGGGGCTCCTCCCACGCATGGCCAGGTACTACGAGTTTGACGAGGCGTTTGTGCGCGAGGTGCTTGGCAAGAAGCTCTCCAAGGGGACCAAGAAAAGACTTGGACGACGTGAGCGCCAAGACGGGGCGTCACGCTGCGCAGCTGCCGCCGCCAGGTGCATCCCGCACTCTCCCCATATTTCGCTCCACGTGCTGCAAATTCTTGTCCACATCCTTCACCTTTGCCACTATCATCTCCATCTTATCACCCATCTCCATTACCCTGACCGCTATTACTTTTGCCACTGTTGCCACCATCTCTGTTGTCCTTGCCATCATGTTCATCGCTGTTGCCATCATGACCAGTCACTATCATCTCCTTGACCCTTTATCGCTATCTCTGCCACCATCATCTGCATCATTCTGATCATAATTTGCCTCACCATCATTCGTCCCATTTCCATCACTCACAAGCATCTCTACTTCCCTCACCACTAATCTCCATCACTGTCACCACCGTCTCAATATTGTCTGTCACCATCATGGCCATCTCCATCACTCTCACCATCGTCTCCATCAAACTTGTCAGTACCTCCATCACTCAAACCACCGTCTCACTCACCCTCACTGTCATCTAGAATAGAGTTCCCCATTGCTCAGCAATAGCATCACTGCTCTCCTGTAATATGGTGAGGAGGTAGCATGGAATTGTTTGGGTCTAATTTAGGCCAAACTCTGAACACCGTGTGAACCAAAAATCAACGTATTATGAACCGAGCCGGAATGTGTCTTGTTTTGGATTTGATTTAGTTTGACAACTTTAAGCGAGTCTTCAAAGTGGTGGAGGAGATGAAGGGTGCACTGGTGGACAACATCCAACAGCACTTCCTTCTGTCCAGGAAGCTGTCCAGGTGAAGTGATACACTACACTAGCCAGGTGAGATAAATGCACAAACTAGCCAGGTGGTGGACCACACAGACACACCATATTGCATGTGCACCACACGCACACACACATTTACGCTAATCAGGTAAGCAATACACAAACCAGCCATGTGAGATACACTAGCCATTACGCACACACACATATTGGCTGGGTGAACAATACACACACCCATCACACCACATACACAGACTAGCTAGGTGGGCTTAACACACGAGTAAGCATGCATAGCTACACACAAATTAGACAGGTGAACCACACACATACACAACCTGATCATGTTAACCACACATACCTACACACACCGCCCAGGTGAGACAAACACGTTAGAGAGGTGAGAGACACAGACGAACAGGGTGAGCCACCCACCCACACACGTACTAGCCAGGTGACCCAATACGGACATGGCTCAGCGACGCACGGCATACATCAGGCGGACCCCATTCGACACGGTGCCTTGGGCGGTGTTCACGCACTGGCGCGGGGGGGGCTACGATGTCAGCTGACCAGCGCGCATGTGTATCCGCAGGGACTATGCGGCAATCGTGTTTTTCACCAACAACCGCTTCGAGACCGGCAAGAAGAAGCTCCTGTATCTCACGTTCGAGGACTTTGCGTTCTGCGCCGAGCAGCTCATCCAGAACTGGACGTTGGGTGCTGTCGGTGAGTGGCGCCGTCGGTGAGTGGGAGCTGTCAGTGAGTGGGCCGCCGTTTACTAATGATGGGATAAGTTTTGGGCAATGACCCATTGCCTGAAACATCACATAATGATGATGAATAATGGACACGGTGATCATACAGTCTTGATAAAATAAGGGAAAAGTATAACAAAAAAAACTGTATTCGCCATCTGGTCAGCAAGATGTTTTGCCGCCTGGAAGCCATTTTGATTTAAACTCGGCACTTGACCCTTAACAGCTGGCCCCCTGCACCCCGCCACCCCCTGGCTACAGGCCCACAGGAGGATGACATGGACGTGGATCTCGATCGAGAGTTCCTGCAGGATCTCAAGGACCTGAAGGTGCTCATCTCCGACAAAGATTCTGCTGGACCAGCACAAGAGGTGGCCCTTGCTGGACCTTGTTCTGACCTCTTGTGATGATCTCGTGCCTTGCCATGTCTCCACCACTCCTAGCTGTGGGAATGGGCTTTGTGCTGTGAGCCAACGCAGCTGCACTGCAGCCATGTGTAACATGGGGGAGGCACGTGTCCTGCATTTTTCTGCTTTGAGATAAACTTGCTGAATGTGCGTGTGCATTTGTGTGTAAGTGTGTGTGTAACGTAGCAGTTAGCGCACTGCGCTATGAACCCAGGGACTGATTTCCGCTCACGGCCAACACCCAGTGACGAATATCTGAACTCATCCTGGGCCTCCCCTAAATCGTCTCAGCCTCAAATGAGTACCTGGTTGTGGTATGTAAATATCGGCGTTCGGCAGACAAAGGCAGCTGGGCGTGTGCTGCTGGCTACCTACCTCCTCGTTGTGCCGTCCCGGCCTTAATAGGTGCTCGCTAATAGCCCTTGCCCCAACAGTCTGTTAAAGCTACATAGGGGATCTTTTGTGTTTGTGTCCACAGCTTGGTGTGCACCACACTTAGAGGCAAGATCACCGTCTTCCAGCGAAATGGAGGCGAGCTTCAAGGTGCTTATTTTAATTAACCCACCCTCAAATCCCCATGTTTTTTAACATAACATTTACAGTTTGGTTCAAAGTAGCCGTAACATTTTTTTAGAACATCTCCCACCACAGTTTGGGCTCGCCTGCTTGCCCCCCCTATCACGTTTCGGCCTTATCCGACCATCAGCTCGGCGGAAAATTCTCCTGAGCCTTAGGGGGCACGGGTTTTACGGAGGCCGCCAAATGTGCATGATCAGGCGGGGTCGTGTACGCCACGCGCAGCATCGCCGTGCTGTAGAGAGACCGCCGTCGAAACTGCACTGGGCCCTGGCGCCCGTTCTCCGTGTTGACTTGGCGCTCGTTGCAGCACTACAGGACTTTAAAATTCTTTGACAGGCATCCGCTCGTTAACGCATTGCGTAGCAAAGCAGATAAAGAGGCTTGCAGTAGCAGGTTAGTGTCGTTTTTGTTGGCCACTTTGAAGTCGGTTTATTTCAGGTCAGGCTAGCGGAGCTTAGGACCTGTCCTTTCAAAGGTGTTAAAAAACACGCAATTCCCATCAGGGCACGAAATGTGATGCAGAAAGAAGGGGTTTTGAGATGGGTGCTCTGTCGACCGCCCCTGCCATATCACTTCCTCCAACCTGCTACCCACACGCTCTCGCACAAAAACACCGATGCTCGTCCTCGGCTTTCTAAATTGAGCTGTGACGGCAGGCGCTGTCTCGCGGGATCGTGAACATCGCCGTCAAGCTCATGCACAGCAAGGACGTGCGAGACTTCTTTATCGACCTCGTCGAGAAGGTGAGTCATGTGAACTCCGCAACCCGCGTTTGATTCCGAGATTCGATACCACCAAACGAGGCACCTTGGTTTGGAGTCTACTGCCTGCACGTGCCTGCTATGCGGCTCCCACTTGGCTAAGATAGAACTAGTTTCCAAATGCGTGTGCATGTCATCAATATCAGCCTTGTTCAATCCACTACTGGATGAAACACCTCCCCGAGATATCACCATCACTCAAGATCTTGGGATGTTACAATCCACTTAGCGCCTGTACACGAGCTGGTTCCATCACTCCAGTTAGGCAGTTGACGCCCTCTCCGGGCACGAGCCGGCCTTTAGCTGCTGTTCTCTTGTTAGTTTTGACCACCGTGTGCACTTTGTGTGTGTGTGCGTTAGTTCATCGAGCCCTGCCGTGCCGACCGATGGAGCCACAATGACGTGCGACTCTTCCTGACGCAGTACGCCAACTCCGCCAGCGCGCTGGACGCCTTCAAGTACGTATACAATGCGTGCTTTGCGTGCTCGTTTTACCTGCGTGCGCATGCGTCCTTGAGTGTGAAGTACACGCATGTACATGTGCGTGGGTGTATATGTGCCGCACAGGCACCAGCTGCTGTGGGAGCGCTACATGGGCACCGTCCGCAGCTGCGTCCTCAAGATGTACCACGAACGGTGAGCGGCCTGCAGCGGCGTAGGCGCTGTCGCAACCGAGAGCACTGCCCTGAGTTGAGAGCCACCGGCACGGAGGAGGAGCCACCGGCAGTGCCCACCAGTCCCGCCATTGCTCCCCACCACCAATGTTCATACGGCGCTTGTGGAGAGGAGTTAACTTTGAAGTAGAAATCCTCCGCTTGCTCTTCAGTTACCCGCTCGCAAGTTGCTGACGTCGTTAAGCGATGGACTACAACAGCGTTTGACAGCAGCCATTGACCACGGTGGTTGCAAACAACGGCTGACAGCAGTGGTTGACAACGGGGGTTGGATTTCGCGGTGTGTGGGTGGGATGAGGCTATATATTTGCATTGGGGAATATCGGGAAGGTCGCCTCTCCACGCTGGCTGCTAAGGCGCCCTCGTCATCGTGGCTGAGTTAGAACTTGGCGTGGTGCCCTTGTGGGGCGTCATGGAGGTAACAGGTAAGAGACAGAAAGTGCGTTACGCCAGGTGAAATGAGAAACGTCTTTAGCCCAGAGGTTCGTAAGCGAGGGACAAAACTGTATTTTGTTTTTGCTGGGAGAAATGAACTTCCTATCAGTTGGCTGTATATGTGGTACCCATGGCTGTGTTAAGTGCCGATGAGGCGTGTCTAATCAACACCAGTAGTTATGACTATAATAAATAATAGGTTCATTCATTATCGCGTGGTCTTTTCCTGTCATTAAAAGTGACTTAACATGTGACTGTTAAACCATATGATTGTTTGCTATTTTAGTCGTTAGATAAGCTCACGATCCCTTGATGCGCGGGACGGTTAGCTGCTGCTTCAATTCCAACGATTACTCTCGGTAAGCAGTGGAAGAATAATCAGAAGTAATCGGTCGCGCGATGGGTGTCTGGGGTTGAGGTGGCACGGGTTTGAGGTGGCACGCGGCGCAGGCAGTGGTCTCGCGCCCACGGACAAAGTCTCCACATTGGACGCGTTTTGCCCATTTTCTGTGCACCGCTGAGCGCTTGTGGAGTTGGATCTGCGCGTTGAGGTGTGAACGTGTGTTGTGTGTGCGCGAGAGGGTGAGGTTCTACGAGGAGTGGTGGCGCAGTGGTTCGCGCTTTTCGCCGTTGAAACCGGCGACCCGATATGATTGCCGCTCAAGGACCACATCGGTGACGAATATCGGGGACTCCACTAGGTCGGCTCGCTTTTTAAATGGGTACCCGATGTGGTGTGTAAACAATCGTATTGGGGAGACAAGCGGCCGGGCGTGGTGCTAGCCACACACTTGCCTTTGCCGGTCTTCATGGCGCTCTCACACAGCACCTTGCCCAACAGCCTGTCTGGATATGCAGGGCGATTTTTGTCTTTGCGTGTCAACTATTAACTATTTTACCAGGTAAGGCCCATTTGAGATATATAGCTGTATTTTCAGAAGGGAACTGGCCACAACTGATAGCTCAATGAAGTGGCTTAGGGCCGTCCATAAATGACGTCATTTATGAACGGCCCCTTATGTGGAAATGTATCGCAGCCAAATACTCCAAACTGCTTTAGAGCTGTGTCAATGATTGTGGTGGGATGCTGCCGGTGTGTGTGTTGGTTGGAAAACGGCTCCTCCACCTGGACTCTAACCCCTCCTGGTGAGCAATACCACAAAAGTTTGTTGCACATTTGAAAATCGCTGTGTAAATAACGCAAACGAATTGAATGATTTGCCCAATATAGAACATAAAATAACACACGTGCGCTTATCTCGTTCCTCTTCAACAATCGGCGATAACACTCCGCTACTCCTGACGCCGGTGGTCTTGACCTGACCAAGTGAATGTGAAATTGTAATTGTCGCTCAGCATCTCCATCAGCCGTACGAAAGAAGAAGACAAATCGGCGATGTGCTAGGAGAATCCTGGGCAGTTGTCCCCCGGTGTGTGAGAAATGAAATGGGGCCCCTCTCTGTCCATCGTCTCGCCCGACGTGCCCCGCCAGCTCTCTTGGGTTTTCCCGGTGCAGTTGCACCGCCTGCACATTCACCCGATCACTACACCCATTGACCTCTCTCTAGTCCACGGGCCCAGCAGAAATATTTTTACTTGTTGGTATCACCTGCGGTGGCTGAACTTGAGTTACAACTGCGCATAAAGTGAATTAATCAATAACCTCAATAAGCATGCGTATCACATTCTCCGCTTTTATTGTCCCATATAGGCTGGCATCGCTAAATGTTTTCCACCTCGTGGGACTTTTGAGGATCTGGGATGAGTGAGCTGCCTCTGGGGCTCGAGTAGTCGAGGAGACTGGGCTTTGAGGGAGGGTGGGGGGTACAAGGGGGCACCCTCATGTCGAGAGCCGAACCCCAGATGAAGGAATCGGCCTCCTCTCTATCATCCTTCACTAACCACCCTTGCAGAGAAAGTGGGTGCCTCCCCTGCGGCGGGTGGGTATTGTTGCTGTTAATCCGCAACACCAGCGTGCCGAACCCTTGTGAGTCGAGCCCCCTGTATGTGGTGGTGGTGGTGGTGAAGTGAGCGAATGTTGAAGGCAGCTGGCCGAGTCTGGTGGCGGGCCGAGAGGCCTGAACACGTGGAGGGCCACAAGTGGTGGACAATGGGGAGGTTTTGGGGGGTGGGGGTTGGGAGTTTAGTGTGAAGGTGCGCGCGAGTACGGGGTCCGGGTGAGAAGCTGAGTGGCAGCAGCTGCTGCGTCCTCCGGGGCCTCGGGTCGATGCCTCTAAATCATTACCATCGCCATCACCAATAACCCCCCCCGCCCCCACTACCGCCAACCCCGGGGTGGCGAGGGTCTGGGGTTCAAGCCGTTTGGAGACCAGGATGTGGGTGCAGGTGAGACGGGGTTGTGTGTGCGCACGTGCGCAAAACTGTAATGGACGCACGTGTACACGGTACAGTAAAAGTACAGTGCGCCGCGTGCACGTGCCGCGTTTACACGCACGTGTTTTCCAGTACCGTGCTACTGTACTCCCAAGTCGCTCGAAGAGTACTCGCAGATCACTGCATTGCACGCGAGACACGTTACACGCCGTGTAAAGTGTGTATGAGACAATGTGAGGATGTTAAGAGTTCTCTGTATGTGCTCATTCATCTTCGTCTGCAGTGATTTGATTGTGCGCTTTGCAAAGTGCCAATGCGCTATGCCACCATTCCCTGCCCTTTGGCAAATGTGCTGTACAAGTAATATGGTGTGCTGTGTTGAGCTACGGTAAAGTTTGTGCTGTGGCACGTTCCCGGTGCTGTGTGTGTCTGCTGTGTTGTGCAATGGCAAGTGCGCTATGCTAAGTGTCCTGTGTTGTGCGATGTGGTATGTCTGCTGTGCTGTATACTGGTGCGCCGATGCAGTTGTGCTGTGCTGTGCGTACTGCTTGTGTACACGTGTACACGCGTTCCTGTGCGCAACGCTAAATCCCGAGACCGGAACTGCCCTTGACAGAGGCACAGTCCCAACACTAGCCCAGTCCCAACACTAGCCTAGTCCCAACACTAGCCCAGTCCCAACACTAGCCTAGTCCCAACACTAGCCCAGTCCCAACACTAGCCTAGTCCCAACACTAGCCCAGTCCCAACACTAGCCAAGTCCCCACACTAGCCTAGTCCCAACGCTAGCCCAGTCCCAACACTAGCCCAGTCCAAACACTAGCCCAGTCCCAACACTAGCCTAGTCCCAACACTAGCCCAGTCCCAACACTAGCCCAGTCCCAACACTAGCCTACTCCCAACACTAGCCCAGTCCCAACACTAGCCTAGTCCCAACACTAGCCCAGTCCCAACACTAGCCCAGTCCCAACACTAGCCTAGTCCCAACACTAGCCCAGTCCCAACACTAGCCTAGTCCCAACACTAGCCCCAGTCCCAACACTAGCCTAGTCCCAACACTAGCCTAGTCCCAACACTAGCCTAGTCCCAACACTAACCTAGTCCCAACACGTGCCCAGTCCCAACACTAGCCTAGTCCCAACACTAGCCTAGTCCCAACACTTGCCCAGTCCCAACACTAGCCTAGTCCCAACACTAGCCTAGTCCCAACACTTGCCCAGTCCCAACACTAGCCTAGTCCCAACACTAGCCCAGTCCCAACACTAGCCTAGTCCCCACATTAGCTTAGTCCCAAACACTAGCCCAGTCCCAACACAAGCCCAGTCCAAACACTAGCCTAGTCCCAACACTTGCCCAGTCCCCAACACTAGCCTAGTCCCAACACTAGCCTAGTCCCAGCACTTGCCTAGTCCCAACACTAGCCCAGTCCAAACACTAGCCCAGTCCCAACACTAGCCTAGTCCCAACACTAGCCCAGTCCCAACACTAGCCAAGTCCCAACACTAGCCCAGTCCCAACACTAGCCTAGTCCCAACACTAGCCTAGTCCCAACACTAGCCTAGTCCCAACACTAGCCCAGTCCCAACACTAGCCCAGTCCCAACACTAGCCTAGTCCCAACACTAGCCTAGTCCCAACACTAGCCTAGTCCCAACACTAACCTAGTCCCAAACACTAGCCCAGTCCCAACACTAGCCTAGTCCCAACACTAGCCTAGTCCCAACACTACCTAGTCCCAACACTAGCCCAGCCATAGCACTAGCCTAGTCCCAACACTAGCCTAGTCCCAACACTTGCCCAGTCCCAACACTAGCCTAGTCCCAACACTAGCCTAGTCCCAACACTTGCCCAGTCCCAACACTAGCCTAGTCCCAACACTAGCCCAGTCCCAACACTAGCCTAGTCCCCACACTAGCTTAGTCCCAACACTAGCCCAGTCCCAACACTAGCCCAGTCCAAAACACTAGCCTAGTCCCCAACACTTGCCCAGTCCCAACACTAGCCTAGTCCCAACACTAGCCTAGTCCCAGCACTTGCCTAGTCCCAACACTAGCCCAGTCCCAACACTTGCCCAGTCCCAACACTAGCCTAGTCCCAACACTAGCCCAGTCCCAACACTAGCCTGGTCCCAACACTAGCCTAGTCCCAACACTAGCCAGTCCCAACACTTGCCCAGTCCCCAACACTAGCCTAGTCCTAACACTAGCCTAGTCCTAACACTAACCTAGTCCCAACACTAGCCTAGTCCCAACACTAGCCTAGTCCCAACACTAGCCCAGCCATAGCACTAGCCTAGTCCCAACACTTGCCCAGTCCCAACACTAGCCTAGTCCCAACACTTGCCTAGTCCCAGCACTAGCCCAGTCCCAACACTAGCCCAGTGCCAACACTAGCCTAGTCCCAACACTAGCCTAGTCCCATCACTAGCCTAGTCCCAACACTAGCCCAGTCCCAACACTAGCCCAGTCCCAACACGAGCCCAGTCCCAACACTAGCCTAGTCCCAACACTAGCCTAGTCCCAACACTTGCCCAGTCCCAACACTAGCCTAGTCCCAACACTTGCCCCAGTCCCAACACTAGCCCAGTCCCAACAATAGCCCCAGTCCCAACACTTGCCCAGTCCCAACACTAGCCTAGTCCCAATACTAGCCCAGTCCCAACACTAGCCCAGTCCCAACACTAGCCCAGTCCCAACACGAGCCCAGTCCCAACACTAGCCCAGCCATAGCACTAGCCTAGTCCCAACACTAGCCCAGTCCCAATACTTTGCCCAGTCCCAGCACCTAGCCTAGTCCCAACACTAACCTAGTCCCAACACTTGCCCAGCCATAGCACTTAGCCTAAGTCCCAACACTAGCCTAGTCCCAACACTAGCCT